CAAAATACTAAAGTATAACAACTAAAAAGAAATGAGGAAGTACAGTACTTCGTACTGCAGTAATTTTACTAATTTTTATGGTTTTTGGTTCCATGAATATTGAATGGGTGAATCTAAGGTACCTACTTCGGTACCTTCTTTACATGCATCATTCAAGTCTAGTGTTGGTAGTGTAGTACGAGTAAAATGTGTGCATAGCATAGTAGAGTAGATGAGCGAGCATATCAAAAGTGCAGATCTCTGGCTTAACTGCATGCGATACGTAACTCTTTCAATGATTTACACTTTGCTTTTTGTAATTTTTACAAGTTTTCACTAGTAGGCTCTAGATATAATCATACTCCCAATGAAACAACTCGACGTGCTCCACCAAATCTTGATTGGACTTGTGTAGTATTTTATCTTGATTTTTTTTTTTACTCCCTTCATTATATATTTTCCACAAATCAATACAAGTATTAAAGAATTAAAGAATAGTATAGCAACTACCAAGCTTCTTTTAAAAGATTTAGAAATATAAGTAATATAATACTCGTGCTCTGTAGTATATTTAAAATAATTTGAAGGCTAAATACATGATTTTTTTTATTTTTTATTTTAGTTTCTTTGAAAATTTTAGAATCTTGTATCAAAAACTCAAATAATAATAATAGATGCATAGCGGTCTATAATATTGTTTGAAACTATATACAATCACCCGTAATTGCATATAATTAATTCGCGTATGATGGGTCTCGCCTAATAGTTTGTGAATCTTCAAGGAAGGGTTGACAAATGACAGTAATGACAGTGGTAGCCTCGTGGGGGATTGGCTATTGGGTATGGATGTAGGCAGGGTTTGAATAATATTTTAATATAATACTCCGTAATATGTATAAAGTCATTTACATGTACTTTTTTTTTGTACTTTAACATGTTATATGACAAATTTGATGAGAGGTAACGTCAATGTCAGGATGGCCGAGTGGTCTAAGGCGCCAGACTCAAGTTCTGGTCCTCTAACGAGGGCGTGGGTTCAAATCCCACTTCTGACAATTTTTTACTCCGTATTATAATTGTAGGTTGCATTTATTTTCTCTCGCTATATTTTCCTTGTCAAAAAAAAAAAAAAAAAAAAAAAGAACTTGCCTAATCAGTGTTTAAGTAATCAATCAAATTAGGCAGCATAATTTATTTTCCAAATTTCCTTCAAGGCTTAAGGTGGCTGCTGATGCCATATAATAATGTGATAATTTACAAGAGATTATACAAGAAATATATATAGTACAAAATATTCACATTACGAGGTAATTATATATAGTAATATATATGGAGTACTCCATATATATAATATTTACATTCCTAAAATAATGGTATAAATTATTATAATTATAGTATTATGTACTCTAACGATAACATATGTCCATAGGTTTGCGCAAGTTAGTATATATATTATATATATACACGTATAAAGGAAGGTAATCATATGTGATTTCTGATTTGAGGTCAAATAGTGCAAAAAATCATACAAAGTTTGATTTTATTCCATATTAATATAACATAAAGTTTCAAATCAAGGTTCGTGTGCATAAATTACCTATATAAACTAAAGTATTTAGGTTATTAGTCTGCAAATTAAACTTAATTTTTACCATTAAGAAAGTAAAAAAAAAAAGTGTTTGTTTATATCTCCATTACCATCCATGGCTGCTAAAGGGTTTCTTCCTATATTCTTCATCGTCCTGTCATTGTTTTTGCTCCCTAATGGTAATTACTAATAATTTTGTTGTGGCATCTAAGTAATTATTTATAATTTTGATAGACAAAATCATTCATAATCATACACGTGTATTAAATTATAATTATCATGCAAAGTAATACCTACGTTAAAATATTTCAGAGTTGCACATAATATTTAATGAAGGTAGTACTTTTTTTTCTTTTTTTTATTTATTACTTTGAGCTAAATTAATACACGAAACCTTTTCTTATGCATTCTTTCTATATTATTAATTATAGTTTTTTTCTGGTGCAGTTTTTTCATCCGATAACATAGATGTGCAGTATATTAATTTACGGTGTGGCGTATTTCCATTTACAGTGGAAGGCTGTACTGATGCAAAATGTAGGGATACTTGTATGTCTAACTACGGTAATTATGATGATGGTGGTTGCATGAATGAAGTGTTATGTTGTTGTGACTTCATTCATGGCGGCTAATAATACAATGGATCATACGATTAATTGCTTTAATGCTTGAATAATTTCACTGTGCTTGATCCGATAGCATAACAATATTATGTACTCCTTCCTCGTCAAACAAATAAATAAATTATGTACTCCTTGTCTCCTTACATAACTATTGTGTTGGTAAGTAATTAAATCCATTTATTTGATCAATCGTTTCAATTCCTAGGTATTGTTTAAAAGGTGCATGTCTAATACGTAGTATAATTTAACTTTAAATTGCGGATGTCATAGCATCCATTTATAAAAGGGCTTCTGAAACCAATTGGATATTGGTGTAGTGATGATTGAGACTACATTCAGTGTTCGATCCCCCACAACAACAATCGGGAGGGAACTGGAGTCTAATCACCCAAGACTGATCCCCAAATCCGAATTAGCCCTAAGGATGAACCAGGTGTAACGCCAAAACATAAAAATAAAAGGGCTTCTGAAGATGGTGCTTGTTTGTTGTACATTCTGCTTCCATCTAATCAAACATAATGGTTTTCTAAGTTAACATCGTAGTATATTGATAGAGCGACGAAGTTAAGGGCTAATTAAATTACAATACAAAATAACACAGGATGACAATCCAAGAATCTCCATTGATAATAAATAAATCGGCAAAGTTAATTTTATTAGAAGGTTTTGTGTGAGTCCGTGGAGTCCGGTTTATAATGCATACTCCAATCTCCTCCTCACTGTCACTGCCCAGCCCTTGTCCGCGGCCGGCGACCTTCCCCCTCCCATTCCCGGTGCTGGCGACCCTCCCCCACCCTGCCTCTGTTAAACCGAATTAGGCTTTCTTCACAGATTTACTTAAGTCCCCGTATTAGAACTACAAAGCTTCAGTAACAATGCACGTTGGAGCTACTTCAATCTTTTCCTCAATTATTATGGCTTTATGAGATTTTTCGTTTTCTAGCCTCAAGCTGGCCTATTTTACGGTGAGACATTGTTTAATATATATATATATATATATATATATATATATATATATATATATATATATATATATATATATATATATATATATATATATATATATATATATATATATATATATATATATAACCTTATTTCTGACATTTATAATCTAATATCTGACCATTATAATCTAATTTCTGATAATTAAGATCTAATATCTGACAATGATAATCTAATACCTGATAAGTATAATCTAATATCTGACCATTGTTATCTAATTTCTGATATTTTTAATCTAATATCTGACTATTATTATCAAATTTCTGACAATTAAGATTTTTTTCCTCAATTTTTTTTTTCAGTTTGTACGACAGGACTCACATGAGTCCGTTCTACACAAAACTTTTACTAATTTTATTTAATTAATCTATCGTGTGCATGCCACATGCATAATGATTATAGAACCAAACCAATAACACATCCATGATAAAGCCTGTATGTTATGCCTAAAACATTTTAGATACACAATGCTAATAAACACATCAAATCCATCATTTTCCTTTGATTTTTGGAGATTTTCCCCAATCCCCACTCTTATATACATATGTCATTGAAGACTACATATAAGTATATAACAAATTAACAACTACAATAGAAATTCGGATCTATTTACATTAATTTATTGAGCTAAACTAAACTAAGCTGATTGGTGATGAATTCAATTGAAATGAAATGAATATTTATGAGAGAAATAAATTAAGAACTGAACTAATTGGAGTTGAGTTGAATTGAATTGAAATTAAGATGAAGTGAACGGACCCTTATTTAGCAGCTATAACATTTTACACTTCATAGAAATCTTGTTTAACCGCTATAACATTTTACAATATGAAAATATAACAACTACGATTAAAAGATTTGTTTCAATAATAACTATGCTATAGAAATCTCTAAATGCTTAACATTTTACACACTTATGTATCTATAACAACTTAGGGCATGTTCTTATTGACTGAACTGAACTGAATTGAGCTGAACTGAATTGAGCTGAACTGAACTGAGCTGAACTGAACTGAATATTTTATAAGAGAAGGAAATTAGGAGCTGAACTGAACTGAACTGAGCTGAGCTGAACCGAACTGAACTGAGCTGAACTGAACTGAATTGAATTGAATTTCAACGTAAGAGAACAGACCCTTAGAGTGATGGATAACTCAAGTGGTTAGAGCTCCCTTCGATTCTCATCACTCGCCCTTGTAGCTCTCTAAACAACAAAAAAAAAACAACTACCACAATTTATTACAATTACAATAAAGATAAAAAATAAAAACAAGTATGACAATTATACAATGACTGGTTAATACTCCCTTTATCCCCAAAACTTCGACCCTTTTAACCTAATTTTAGTCCCAAAATGATCGACCCATTTGCATTAAAATACCCACCAATTTACAACAATATTTGTGCAAAATTAGCGTCCCCATATTAAATTTTGTTTTATCATGTATTTTTAATACTTTATCTCTCTACTTTTTATAAATCCCATATAAATTTATTTTTCCAATATGTTTTTAATTCTTTTTATTTAAGTTTGTTAATAACCGCAAAATCAACCTAAAAGGGTCGAAATTATAGGGACGGAGGAAGTAATAAATTAGGAATTCCCAAGGTAATATGTTTCATTATGCTATCTAACAAACACTAATTTTTCCTACCAATTTTTAATTATTTTTTTCCCCAAAGATTTGGGCTCACTAAACCCATATGGGTGGACCTGGATCTAGTCAAATTAGCCATGGGTTTGCCCAACAAAGTGACACAAGTTGGGCCAAATACTCATTGTTGTATACATAGGCCTGAACATATTACAATGACATACAAATAACATTACAAGTTTTAGAAGTTAAAAGGTTTGGAAGAAAGATTAAAAATGGGGGAAACATCAGCAGAATCAGACGCATCTTTCAGGGCAGAAGAAAGCAAGAGTATAAACCTGAGAGTGAAGTGGATTGATGATGATGAAAACAAGGAGAAAGATGGAAAATTTGGGGAAATTCACTTCAAAATTGAGAATGATATTGCACTTACATGGTTGATGATTCGTTATTGTGATAAAATTGGTGCAAATTTCGGAACTACTCGTTTTGAATTCAATGGTGCTAAATTGCGAGGAACTGATACTCCTCTTCAACTTTCAATGAGTTCTTCTGATCTCATTTATGCTCATCATTTTCTATGTAAGTGTCTTCTTTCTTTCCTTTTGTATGTTCTTGGTTATTTATGCAAAGTGTAGCTAATTATGTTTCTAATGTTTTCTGGGGTTTTCATAAATTTGTGATTTGCTTGATTTTATTATGTTAGTTCTGATTTTTAACATGAACTGAAGAGATGAAAACAGAACACAGCACAATGAATGACAACAAAATAAATGAAAATGAATTGAATTATACTCTCTATGTGTTTAATTATACTCTCTATGAATTGAATTGGGTAGTATTGTTTTTTTTTTTTTTTTTGAACAATTTTATGTTTAAAATTTGAAAAATTCTAACATTAACCCTAAAATTCTTAACCTTTTAATGCTCCTTTGGTAGGAGATAAATGGTGATGTGAATGAATCTTTTGAGTGATTTTGCAGGAAAAGTCTCATTTCACTGTCTTTAGTAATGCTAATTTGTCACTTAGCGTTCTTAATCTTCACAATTTATTATTATCATCCATTAACACTTGTAAGGGTGGTAATGGGAGGAAATGGAAATTTTGGAAGAAATTCAAGGTATTAGTAATAGCTAATCAGGACATACTGTATTGTGCTGTCAATTTTCTTTATTTTCAACTTTTTTAGCCTCTCCTCTATTGTCCCATCTTAGAAAATCTACTTTTCTATCTAATAGGAACTTGCAAAAGCATGGCATTTTGACTTGTAAAACTACTAAGTACGCGGTATATTGAGTATTGACATAAGTTTGGGTCGAAGTTTAACCTTTGGTGCATACCTCTTGCATATTTGCAATTTTAGTAGTTGGTTCATAAGAAATGTATCGAACGGTTGTCAGCTACTAGGAAAGGCAGTGTTTGATACTTGGAGAGGATTATGGGGACAGTTTAAACTTGAAGAGGGGAGAAATATTATTGTTTGATGATACGAGTACTTTAGATAGGATCATAAGTTGATGACATTCGATCACTCACCAAGCCACCACCAGATATGCTATGGATTGTAATGGCATTGATGCTAGAAGCAGAAGTCATCATTGCTGGATGGGTTTTCAGGTTGACACGCACCATATTATCATTGTTGGATGTTGGCATGCCTGATTGTTATACCATCTCTGAACTTTCACTGCTGTTATATATAGATATGTGTAAGCATTTAACACATAAGAAACTAATACAGTGAGTTTGAGTTTAATCTAATGGGAGAGTTTTGCAATTAATATCATGTTTAGTAAATTAACTGCCTTCAAAAAAGTTACGACTTTACAAGTAGAAAGTGGCTTATTGTATTGCGATGATACCTGTTTCGGGGTTTTCTGATGTCCTGCGGGAGAGTTACAATTCCGAGACTGGAACCGGACGCCTGTACCTGCAAAACAACGGAGACTCCTGGTGGTGGGAGCTCCGCCTCCAACGGTCAAGTTAGTACTTGATTAAGGAGTAATTAATGCGGAAATTAAAGTGATTGGGTCTCTCTAGGTGAGAGTGTTTAATGTGAGTTTTTAGCGTAATCAACCTGTAATCTCCCTTAATGAGGATTTAAGGGAGGTATTTATAACCTTGGGAAACGTGCCAATCCTAGGTTTAGGTTAACCTAGGGCTGATTGGGCTTCCCTCGGAAGTTGGGCCTGGGTGGCCGGTTTCTCCATTAGGCATGGAGTATGCCACGTGTCATGACATAATAGGTCCAAGGTGGACGAATAAGCGTGTGCCACGTGGCAAGCCCTGACAGTTCCAACTGGGGGACACTTGGCAGGACCTGATTGGCCCACGTGGCGGATTCCGATTGGTGGGAGCAAAATCCCCTAATCATTTGCCCCTCACAGGTGGCACGTGACTGGTCACGTGTTACCTGTGACAGATATCGCACTGTAACAGGCGACGACCTGCTACAGGTGTCACTCGGCGAAAGGCCGAGAGATTCTCCCGCCCAAATTATGAATTCTGGAAGTGACCCTTCGCCTTCTCACTTCGCCTATATAAGGGAGTGTTGACTTCAGTCATTTTTACACTTGAGAACTTTGTGAGAGAACATTCGGACCCCTGAACTTGCTCTGACATTTTGGACCCTTTCTGCCTACCGCCTGCTCTGACAAGCCGACTGCACATGATTTTCAGAACTCCATCAACGTCACTCGTTCAGGTAACCGTCGGTTCTCTTACTCTTAATTTTCTCTTTATTTTATTCCTTTTTGAAATGGCACCACGGAAGCACACGACACGACCTAGGTTAGTGATCAGCCGGTCACCGGGGACGGCTGAATCTAGGACTAGGAGTGCCGCCTGCCCTTTTCCGGACCCATCTTTGCCCTTTATACAAAGTCCGACTGTATCTGTGTCTATGCAGAGCATGATGGCCAGAACAAAAAAGACTGCCAGGATCTCAAACTCAGACGGCTCCTCCCACAGGGTGCCGATTAGTGAAACATCTGACCAGGCGCCAGATGTGGAAGTGAAACAAAGCGGCTTGAAAGCCGGCAGTTCTGAGGGAGGAGTCAAGGTGACCCCTTCCCATTTTACAGTTGACAATTCTACATTCTCTCCTGCTCCTTTTAAAGGAGAGGAGGCGGGCCCCTCCGGGAGAGGGGAGGAGTCGTCCTCTTCGGACTCGTCAGAGGACGATTCCGAGTCTAGCTCTTCTGGCCATGCTTCTCTGAACACAGAAGAGAAAAACAGTCGCCTGCAAGAGGCGAGGCTTTCTCACGCAGTTGAGAAGGGGGACGATTGGGCGGAGCCATCCGCCTCTCACCGAGAGCAAAATACCCCCTACTACTGCACGGTACCTCGGGGTCGGATCACAGCCATGCAAGAGAAAGTGGAGAGCTTTATCGCAAACCACACAATGGGCCCCGGCTTTTTAGTGTTCGTGCCGGATCCAGAAGACACAGTCGTCTGGCCGGCTGGTACCAGTTATGATAGCGCCTGCTTTGGTTGCTACGAGGCGGCCATCAAGGCTGGGCTGCGCTTCCCACTACATCCGGCTGTTCAGCGGATCTTGGATGGGTATGAGTTGGGGTTATGGCAGTTAGCCCCGAACTCCTGGGTCAACGTACTCGGCTATGTGGCCGGGTGCGAACTGCACGGGGTGGAGCCGAGTTTCGAGGCTTTCGCCCACATGAACTACCTCATCCGGACCCCTAAGGCAGGCGGTACCGGCTGGTATCAATTGACGAGCCACAGGGGCTACCTCATGACGAGAGGTAAAGCAAACAAATGGAAGGTCTGGCGGAGCACCTTCCTCATCATTGAGAGTTCAGACACAGAGCTGAACAACAGGTGGAACAGGAATCCGCCCTTTCTTGCAGGCGGCCGCAGCATGCCGCCTGTTCCCCCCAAGGCTAAGAAAGAGATCCTAGATAAAGGACTCTTCAAAGTAGAGGCGAAGGTGAACTCTACTTCAGGGGTACGAGAGCAAGTACCCCTGCACTGCGTCCCGAGCTTCAAATGGCTCTACGACGAGTACTTTTTGGCCGTCTGTGGCCTCAGCACTCGGTGCTCAAGAGGTAGCCGGCCTGTCGAATACTCTGTTGTTCCATGCATTTCTTGTTATGACTTATTAACTTTGCTATTTGTTTTTGCAGCGGACGCTATGAGCAAAATTACCGCCTCCAAGACTGCGGCGGCCATGTTGCGGGCCTCCATCATGCAATAGTCTTCAACCGACTCCCCCAACAAGGGGGCACCCTTGGTGGGCTTCGAACCTTTCACCCTTTTTTTGGAGTTGTGTTTATGCATATACTGACTCTTTTCTTCTTTTTTAGACGGGCGCTCCAAGAGCTTCTTCTTCCCAACAGCCGGACCCCAAGGCCCGGAGGACGACTGTTGCGAGCTCTCCTGGTTCTGCCAGGAAACATGCGGCGGCTGAGAAACAGCCGACCACTTCTTCTAAAACTCCAGTTGGGCCGCCTAGAAGTATGAAGTTGTCCTTGTAAATTTTAGACTTGCTCCCTTTTTTACTAGGTCTAATCCGTTTGTTTATGCTTGATGCAGCCGGCCCTCAGGAGCCTGACTTGGTCGAGGTGTCCAAGTCTATGATCAAGGCCGTTCCTCCAGCTGAAAGGGAGGCGGTCAGGGGTGTCGGCACCCTTGACCTAGACGGGATTGCAGGGGTCCTTGCTGAGGTATACTTAGCATATTTTTGAGTATTTGAATTCCAGGTCGCCTGTTTTCTTTTTGTTTGGAAACTGACGCCTGTTCCTTTTTACTTAGGCCCTGCTCCGAGTGAACGGCCTTCGCAAGCCGCTTGACCGGAAGAACAAAGAGGTAAAGGCTGCAAAAGCTATGGCCGCCTCTGACTGTGATAAGGCAATGTTTCAAATTGCCCAAAATGAAGTTCTGACCATTGATATTCTTTATTATCAGGCGCAGGCTACCGCCGCTATCCGGGCTCAGTTAGAGGCGGCCCAGAAGAGGAATAGCGAGCTGGAGGCGACCATCAACAATCTCAAGGCCGAGCTGAGACCTCTTCGCCAAAAGATGTACTCATACGAAGCCTTGGAGAAATCCTTGGCCAACGTAAAGGAGCGCCTGGTGACCCAGGAGAAGAGTCTTACTCAGGAGCTCTCGGAAAAGGCCGAGCAAGAAAAGAAAGAGCTGGTCCGGGAGATGATGGAAGACTCTGCTCAAATCCAGCGCATGACTTGGGGTCGCCTCTTCCCCAATGCCGACTTTGCCTCATGGGAAAAAAACGTACCAGTGTTCTGATACATATAATCAAGAGATCCTGGCGGCTGCTGAGGAAGAGGCGTTGGAGGAAGCGTTGGAGGAGGAGGAGCCGGTAGTGGCGCTTGTGCCGCTTGGGGGTAATGCATCAAAGAAGGATGCAGCTGAAGCCGAGTCCAGCAAGAAGAGTGCTGACCAGGCGGCAGCTACTAATATTGAAGATATTCCCCCTTCTTAAGCTTTATGTCTTCTTTCTACGGCCTGCGTGCCGTTTGTTTTGTATTTACCCGGCCAGGGGGCCGGGGCTCTGAATATTTTGTCGGTCTTTAATGACCGGATTCTTTTTAATGAATTTTTT